GAGAGATAGCATTATGCTATTGTCGCTTTCAATTCGCATCGACAGCGCGCGATTTCTACTTTTTTGAGGTAACATATCTCATTTTCGAATACAAACATATACGCGGGGATAGCGATTATTACGTAACTAACAGCAAAAAGGTATGATTGAAGTCGGGCGGTGTTAAATTACGTCGAGGTGATAAAGCACTGGAAAAAAGTAGTTTTCACCGGATTGTTATGACCGTAGAACGACGTTGTTTGAACGTAGAACAATAATAAAAAAAAACGAATTTCAAACGGGGGGACACGACCCCCGTAACCCCCCCGCTGGTTGCGCCACTGACTCAAACTGTGTTGAAACGAGCGGGACAAATATTTTTGTCAATGCAATATGATAAATTCCCAAAAGTTGGAAAATCCAATCCATTTTCTTCAACAATATAAATTCTACATTTCTGAACTATTGAATATTAAATTCGCCATTGTTCCGTGTTATTGCGGGCAGCCGGATCTATCCCGCGGGCCGTAGTTTGGTGACCCTGGTTGGCACAATGCGCCTCATCGGCGAGGTAAATTTAGGTACTTTTTGTTACGCATTTTTCGATCTGACCAAACCTTGCAAACCATTGTATAGTCGTCTTTTGTTGATATACAATTTGTTGGTATCATTTTACGCCATATTAGCCGGTTTTCATTTCCAAGCAATTGCGAATTTTCGGCTTGCAAATTATGCACGCGTGCATTTTCGCGGAGCGCTATCACCCTCTGACGTGCACCTGTCATGGAATCCAGTCTGGGGAGAGGGAAGTCCATAACATAGCTTTACCGGTATCATATGGCGAACCATAGCCTCTCGTCCGGTTACCAGTCCATGCCGAGTATGGGAGTCGTTAGCCAATTATTCTAAATGCATGGATCTGATGGTGGAGGAAACCATAATAGACGGCGGCAAAGAGTCCAGCAAGCTTCTCACACATAATTATGTACAGTACAGGATTCAAACCCACGCAAGGTACCGCAATTAAAGGTGTGTGGCAAGCGCATTCCTAACGCTTAGCACGATTCGATGAATATTATTCATACCCTATGGGAAAACTACAAGCAACCTAGAAGGCGAAACAGTAATAATCAAAATAGATTTTAAAATACCTAATACAGGCCCGCCGACCACATGCGGCCCGTCGCTCCATTATGTGGCCCGCGTCGGATTCTGAGAGTAATCGAAAATCCCATTTGATATTGTTTTTATTCATAAAATTAACCGGAAATTCTTTTAACATATTGTTACATCACTAATATCACTCACTAGTGTTGTGTCACTTTTTTCGTCATGAAGAGTTTGAAATCTCACACCAAATGTAGATATAGAAAGACTTTTGCAGGTTTGGTGGCTTTTACATGTTTTTAGCTTTACAAATACTGATCAATGTGTTCGTACAATAAGTGTTTGCTTTGTATTGCAGTATTAACCTATTCTTTGCACTATTGTGTGGTATAGAGCCTCCCTATGTTTCATTTCCTGAATATGTTATGAAATGAATTTATTTGCAATCATAATGTATATTTTGCAGCATAGTTGCAGCAACATTAAGGAGTAGAGATTTTAACGACCATTTGTAAATGCACTCTGCTTTGCAGCTATACATTTTCCTGTTACGAATGATTTCTGAATCCTTAAAAAGATCTGTTTGTGTCCCTAAACTCTCTCTACCGAGTTGTTCATGTATAATGCAAGAATAATCCAGAGCCAACAAACTTGGACCACCCTGACCTAATACTTCCTAGCTAGTAAGATCTATCAAATAATATTAAAGTTTATTTTATTGTAAAATCAAGCTGATAACTGCACAGTATGCGATGGAATGTTTTATTAATAATATACAGTGATTGAGAATATTGCTAATTAAAAATAGATTTGAATTATGAAAAAATACTACAGTACTTTGAAGACTGGGAAAAATCAAGTCAACAAGTCAATTTATGATTAAAAAGTAGAGGCAGTAAGCATAAATGAACAACACAGGCAAAAAATTGAAGATATGATTGCTATTGCATAATGCGAACAAGTATAAGTAGAAAGAAAATCAAAGTTAATTATTATCAGAATTGCTGTGCTGGAAGAAGAAATTGGAAAAGTAAAATTATCGGTTACGAAAAAATTTGTATATTGAGAATAATATATCGCAATCAAAATCATTTAGGTAAAACACCACACGATCAGTTATTCTTTGACAGGTAGATTATAGCATTATTTGGCTTTTGCATATTAAATCACTAATAGAACAAAGCAAAATCAACACAAGAAATATACAATTTTAAGAATGATTTAACATACAACAAGAGGATAAAACAATTTGACTGAGCAGCATTAGATAAAAATATGGGTGCTTCCGTAGTATTCGTACCAGGGCATTTTCCCTTATGATAATTTCTTTACTTAATCCCTGCATTGTACGAAAACAGCGATTTGTAGTTACGATCACTGAGTTAAACGTCATCTTAAGATAACACATAAGAACATTCTCTGGCACATTGATTCTGACATTTGCATATTTAAATTATTAATAGAACATACTAACCAAAAAGGCATAATTATATGAAATGGTATTGAAATTAAATTCTCTGTTGAAATCGATAAACACGAAAAATATAAAATTTTAAAAATAATTGTTATGACTATGATTGGCAACGATATTTAAACACCAGAATTATAAAACACGTTCGATCGGGCACCGTAGATAAAAAATAAATTAAAGTAGTGAGCAATGACCCTGAGCGCCAAAAATGGGTTGGCAATGCTGAACTAGGAATGGCCAAATATCCTAGTGATCGAAAAACATAAATTAAAGAGAACATTTTTCGTTTGTTGTCAAAGCCAATAAACCCTGTATGCGATTCAATTTGGAGACATAAGCGGAATAATAAGTCTTAGTCATCCCACATTCAGTAGCTCCCCTTTTACAGCAGAGCACACTCATGCTCATCTCCCTATTTCATGTCTCTATCACCTTTTTATACATAGTTGAGCCTTGTTTTTACGTGAAAATAAATTGCTCTTCCAAAACATTAGTACAAACCTAATTATGACAAAACAAATCAAGAATTGGGTTACCATGACAATATACAGGGGCCGAACGGCTTTAAATCAGAGTAGTATTTTTATTTGTTTACTCAGATATATTTTTTGGGGTGTTTTCTCATTTTCCTTCACTTTGGACAATCATCCGCTGACATGCTATAATTTTTTGACAAGATCAAAATCTTTCCGGTTTGTGGCATTGCATTTTTTGTGCCTTGGCTGAGGTGGCGGGCATGGGGTTTGAATCTGAGAACTCTGGCCTGCAGTGTATTTGAAATTAAAGTGTTACTCAATATTAATTGCACATATTAGGCTTGCACGTAATTTACGGAATTATTTCGAATGACGCAAGCGAAGTCACGAATTACGTAAAGTCGTAATTATTGGTCGAGCGCTTTCGCGATTGAAATGAGCTCTCTTCAGAGCAGTCAATTCCGTCGATTGTAAAAAATTAAAGTCTGAGTAAAAGAAGTTAGAGTTCCGGTATTCGCAGCCGTTTTTCTCTCTCTTGTTAGGCAGATGGGGAGGGCATAACGCGTCATTTACTAACCTATTATCAACTTATCTAAGATGGCCAATGTACATATTAACCGTAAATAAGGAATAGAATTGTGTCGAGACCGATGGACGCCAACACACCTGGTTTCAACTTCTTCGGGTGAAATGAGTGAAGAATGTAAGAGATCAACTTATAAAACATGGTCTATTTGTAGAGTCGTGATAATTAATGTCGCGCTTATCAAACAGCAAGAGACGGAAGAGAAATTGCGTAATGAACCAACGCAACTTAGTCCTTTCGGCATCGGTAAAGCGATTGAGACGGCAGAGAAACAACATTACGACGGGATTTCCCGTGTTTATTCTGCGCGAAATCTATTTTCTATTACAAAATCTTGATGTTCTGTTACCGGTTTTATCGTTATATATCTGTCCGGACTTGGCATTGCTCAATATGTTTTTCACAATGCCTCGCAAATCGCAATATGTCGGCCAAATATGATTACCTGTCTTTACCAAATGCGGCAACTTATTTTGATTTATCGTCGACCTGAATACCACCGGCACTCGACCAAACTTGTGTCAATCTTGGCAAATAGGATTGTCGACTTGAGTTAGAAAAATAAATTAATATTTTCATGAGTGCAAAATAAATGTCACAAAATGCATTGTTTTGCGATATAACTTTGTATTTTCGGAGAAGGCATGTCATATAAGTACGGTATTTTAAATAATGCGCAAATAATTAATATTTGATCTAAATTTATCGTAAATAATGTTATAACATTTAGGCCGCGAAATGATTTAATGTAAAATGAAGCATGGAATTCGGAATATCGTCAATAAGTCGGCATCAATAATTATTATAAAATGCTAACTAAGTAGTAAAGTCGGATATTGTAAAAAACGGTGAAATAACAAGTCTTCGTCGCGAGGCAAGCGAAAGTATAATCAAACGAGAGAATACGCTTGTAGTTGATAAATAAATTAGCAACCCGGAATTTTTATTCAATACGAAAGTCGTATTAATACGTCAATACGATTTTAAAAAAGTGAACTATCGTTTCTTAAATATATTACCAGTGTTGGTAATGATAAAATTGATCGCATAAAATTTGGTGATAAAGTTGATAAAGGAAAATCAAAGCTAATACAAAAGATAAAAATCAGAATAAAATTATTTTGAATTCACTCCTTGATATTTGTCTTTAACATCTGTCTCCGGCGTGTGGTACTGCCGGGAATATGAAAACCAAACTTCGATGTCCCATTCGGAATAGAAGTGGATTAAATTGGTTGGTATGCTAGGTTTAAATGTGTGAAAAAAATATCGCAATTACGGGGTCATTACGTAATCGATTTGGCCGTAATTACGGAATTGATTTTTGTCAATTACGTGCAAGCCTAGCACATATGGGAAGTATTACGGCGTAAAATTTGGCAGCAACTATTTTGATTGAATAAAGATAAGACATGATTTCAAAACAAGGTAATTTCTGTTAAAATTAATGCTATTTGCAAGTAATTATTTAATTTTTCGGCCATTAAAGCTCTACATGTCATTTAGTATTTAAGCATGTCCTTTGGTTGGCAAGGTCTTTTTATTGAAATTTCTTTGCCTTCAGCGCAATTTGAAGTGTCCTCACATGATTCATATCAGGATATCCGTTACTGAAACAGAAAATTTTGAAATGAATTAGTTTACTTATTATTTGGCTCGTAAGTTGGTGCATTGTGCCAAGCACTAGAAAGTTAGAAACGCACTCGTCTTCTGATTATACTGCACAGGATGGAATCCTGTAATTATCTGTAAGAGAATTTTTAAGACTCCTTGATCTTAGGAATACGCTCGCCACCGCACCTCTAATTACTCTGCGTGGGTTCGCAGGTTCGAATCCCATGCAGGGATGGCGTCATTGGGTGGTTCACGTAACCGCTGGTCGGTTACGGCTTCCTCCAGCACCAAGTCCATGCTTCCGAAAACAAACGATATAACTAATCCCATACCAGACTTGGAATGGCAACCGGACGAGAGGCCGTGGTTCGCCATATGGATAAGCCGTCTTATCGACTTTCCTCTCCCCCGGGATAAATATGTAAATCCTTAGAGAGGTTCAGTTCATGTACCGCTAACAGCTGGTCAGTTACAACAATGCTACCCCATCAAATCCATGCATCTGACACAGGTAACTGGTTCAAATTTCTCATACCACCCATGGTATTGTAAGTTGTAACTGTTTTTTAAGTGATACCCCAAATTGAATTATGTCGGATATATAAGTTTGGGGTCTACCTCTGTATTATTCCTCCCTCGTGGACATCACACATTTCCATACATTTATTTGATTGTAATAAACACGTTACTTGTTGCACCTGGGTAGGCTACATAATTTTATGGTAGTAGGCCTCATGATAAAGTAGCATCCAATTTTTACTGTAACCACAAATATTATTATATCACCAAGATGGCACCTCTTCAATATGTGCTTTGGACCTCACTGTGAGAACGTGTGTGGCCTGTGGAGTCATATTTTTAAGGAGGTGTTAGTTGGAATTCTGCATATTCATCCTGAGGAAGAGGAAAGTCGATAAGACAGCTAAATCATATGGTGAACCACAGGGTCTCGTCGGGTCAGTTCAGTATATTTCAAGTATTGGATTAGTTAGCCAATTTTTCAGATTGCATGGACTCGATGGTGGAGAAAGCCATAACCTGCTAGCAGTTTTGTGAACCACCCTACCAGCGATGAGGAGTCCAGCAATCCTCTCGCACATAATTGTCCCTTACAGCCATGGTTTTCAAGGGGGCGTCGCGAGGCCTAAGTGAGTAGTTTCAATTTTGCTAGGCGTCGCGAAACTGGTGGAATTGTACCTGCGGTACAGAGACAAAGTCAAAAATTCTCGTTTGAATCACACTTGAGAACTGGAGATGACAATATATTAATTATTGTAACAATCAATCTTATCTATTTGTGACCTCACTAACATCACCGGGTCATTCAATGCTGTTTCTAATTATGACATCACAAAACACCTGAGTCGGTCAGCTCGAGCCATGCATATCATTCTTTTCTAATCCTTTCATGAACATGGGCATATCGACCAATGTTGAGCGACGCTCAGCACTTGGTCTACGCGTTGATTCGAACGACTCAATATTGACACCACGACAGTTCTCTTCAGGTATAATTTTAATGAAAGTCATTTGCAAAGCAGGGTCTTTTATTAAAAGTATCACGACGTTTTTCAACGGGGAGTCGCAACTTGATCATATTTTTGGGAGGGTGTCGCAATACCAAGAAGTTTGAGAACCACTGCCTTACAGGTTTCGAAACCTGCGATTCCCACACAGGTTGATCAGAGACGTGGTGGTGACTGTATTTCTAATATGTGGCCCAAACTGCTGAGCCTTGTTTATTATAGTAATATCACTTACTTCTTGGAACTCCAGTCTTGTTTGGTTTTGTGAGGGAATTCGTCATTCCATATGATTTGCCCTCGACCAAGACTAATTTCCAGAATCTTGAAGAGTATTTTTGCATTGAATGCCCGCTCAAGCAAACTGCGAATTTCTTGTTTATCATCAATCCCCGGCAAATATTCCGTAAATTTTTGTCCTTCATAGGAAACCCCCTTAAAATATATATTTCATAGCTTGAGATGATGATATTAAGGATAGGATTTACATATTTATCCCGGGGGAGAGGAAAGTCGATAAGACGGCTTAACCATATGGTGAACCACGGCCTCTCGTCCGGTTACCATTCCATGTCGGGTATGGGATTAGTTAGTTATTTTTTTGTTGTTTTTGTTTTCGGAAGCATGGACTTGATGGTTAATAAATAAAATATTAATCAAACCATTTTATATATTAACCAGGCTCGTCTATTGTATAGAGTAAAAAACATTCTTGAAATTTCAAGTCAACTGCGGGCTCAGGTGAATAAGAGTATATAGTCACCCCAATATATGGTTACTATGTGAAGTTGGGTATTGGGTATGAATAGTTTAGCCAGCTGCAATTTCTTGGTATATATCAGAACATTCAGAAGTATGCAATATTTTTTGTCAATGGGCCATATAACCTACTTTTGACACCTAGCTGGGCTACACAAAAAATTCAGCGGAAAAGGCAAGAGAGGAGAATGTGGTTATCGCTTAGCCTTACAGTAATAAAAGCGCCTGGCAAAAGATTCAACGCAGCGACAAGAGCAATAAATATAACATTATGTATTTTCCCGTGTGCAGAGCTTTTCAAACATGGACTGTCATATTAGGATTTTATGCTTGATGGGGAAAAATGAGTGTTGACAAGCGCCACACTAAATTGCTTTGTGGGCCGTGTTGTGGCCCGCTGGCTGCTGTTGCGCATGCCTGGTAAATAGTTTGTGTAAAAAAACGTGTGGATATGGGAATATTTATCCAGATACCAAAGCTTGTACCTGATTGGCAAGAAAGTCTGGAAGAAAATTTTTTTTTTTATAATTCACCTTTACATTTCCAGGAGGAAACAGGTAGGTGATCACAATAGTACCACATTCGGAATGTCCTGGTAATGATTTCAGCAAGAATCCCACAGAAAAACTCCCCTCGGAAGGTTGTTGGTTGATAATTCTAAGACCAGGAGTAGTTGCTCTTTGAGGCTGAGAAATTCCACCACCTAAATCAAAAATAATAAAAAAACTCAGTAAAATAATGATAAGAAAAAGCTTAAAAGTCAACCATTTTATGCAGAAGGATTCCATACAAGGTGATCAGAATAATAAAACAACTCATAAATATCATAATTGCTTATACGAAAATTTATTTAACACTTGAACTTCTGTTTGTGTAAAAATTACCCAGAAGTTCAGTAATCTAGGAAGATTTGCACGCAAGTTACGTTATGTTTAAAATATGTTCCGAATGACCGGAGTCCTGTTTTTGTGGGGTGGCCCTGTATTTGGTTTAGAAATCGATGAAATTTAAGAAATAGTGCAGAAACTTACTTTTCAAATCCAAATTGCCTCTCCTTGGTCCTCTGGCAGTTGCATGCGATTTTAAGCCCTGGCTTGATAACTTGGATCGATTCGAAGATGATTGGCTAGAAGTTTCCGTGTCTGTAGTTTGATCATGCTGCTTGGTAGGAGCCCTTGACATTACTTCGTCCATTAGTTTATCGATGCACTTCTCAGAAGATCTGACCAACCGATCATATCGTACTGTTGTTTTCAGGAACTCTACTGGAAATTTTTCAAGGTCAATATGCTCAAATAGATCCTGGAAATCTGTCTCTCTTTTTTGAATGTCATATTTGACCCATTTGATGGCCGCGTGCCATTTTACTTTCTCAGAATCGCATTTTGTATTGGATGATCCCAGAAGCTTCATAACATCATTTTTGCTGATATGGCAGAACTCATTTTTCTCAACTATCTCCTCAAAATGAGACTCCAAAAATCCAATTAAAATAGCGACTGTTGTCGGATCATTGACTTGGTAACTTTCAGCTAGATTTTTCAGAATAAAGCAGTTGTCAATGTCGAGATTGTTTTCAAGATTGTTGACATCCAAAAACAAGTCATGGATTATTGTATTCCTTGAAGTTTCGTTCATTTTCACAAGTGGATCCTCTAGCACTGTTCCCAGAATGAATTTGAATGGGAATTTTCCTGTGTCAACTATGAAATTAGAAATATCAGCATCACCTTTTCCTTTTGCCCAAGTTTTGACAGCTTGCCATACTGTTTGGTAAGACTCATTTTTCAAGAAACGCAAGAGATCCGATTTTTTAATGGATGGAAACATCTGTGAAGGAATCACAGACTTGAAATCGGTGACAGCAACTTGTTCTGCCAACTCTTTTACATCTTGGCGATTGTAAGTTTCAGCCAATATCATAACAGAGAGACAATTCATTGGGGAAATATGTGATTGAAGATACTGAAAGCAATATTTCATCAAATCTACCATTTGTAAAAAATGGGATGCTTGCAGGATATGTTGAATGTTTTCCATTATCAAATCTGCCTTTCCTTTATACATGAACTCTATGCATTGTGCGATCCCATCCTGATCGACATCCTTCATATTTACATGACCGTCATGAACTTCCTTCATGTTGCTTGAAAACATGGCTTCAAAGTATTCCGAGGAGGCAGCTAACACAGCTCGATGAACACGAAATGATTTTCCACCAACCTCAACGGCGAAATCACAAAGAAACCCATTTTGTTGGAAACGATCAAATGACGTCATAAGACGATCTGACTGTGTGGCCTTTACCAGCTCTGCTGATTTAGGAATCATTTTCTAACTCAACAAAACCTCCGGATAGATAACCTCACTCAAATAGAGGTGGATTAAGCTAAAATCAGGTACGGTACCGTATGACTGTGAAAGTAATTTACAGTTCTTTAGTGGCTGCTCAGCTAATCCAGGTTTATGCCAGACGCCACGAGGCATGTCACAAAAACTTCGTGGCACTATGCCGGGTATGGGATTAGTGAGCCAGTTATTTGTTTCAGATACAGTTCGTACGGAAATGAACTTGATGCGAAAAAATACTAGCATAAAATAAAAACATAAAAATGGCATTCCACGGTGAAAGGAGATTTGAAAAACCGATCAGAGGTCATAAAGGCATCTTTGTATTTTATACAGTACAGCAGCACACTATCCAAATTCCAAGAATTCCCCTCCATTTGGCTAAATAAAACAAACTCTATGTGTCTCACGAACGAGGGGCGTCTGGCACCACGTCAGATGAGTAATATCGCGCCATGCTTGTCTCAATAATAATCTAAATTAATCGTGGCCGTCACATGATCAAAATTGTTGTTTTTTGCTAAAAATTCTCGAATGCTACAATAAAAAAAATTTTCTTTCGGTAAATCGGATTATTTTTAGGAATTCAATGATGACGTTGCTAGATTGCCCATTTTTTGCGAAACTTCATTATACTGTATTATTACCGATATTGAGGGACAACAATTTCCAGACAGCTCCCAAAGAAGGGGTGTCTGATCATCTGTAAAATGGGTTTCTCTGTAACGGGACAATGTCACCTATTTGTATAGTGTGCCGTGCTGTTATACGGCAATATTTTTTATTATACCACATTGCCTGCCATAGTATTATAACAGTGTTGTCATTATATATCGTTAGTGCGAGAAAAATGACCTCGGTTAGGGCTTGTTCACATTCACACAGACGCACAGGTTTGCGTAAGAAAATCCAACGCAGTTGCGTTGGGGGTGTTCATACTTGTATAGTTTTATTTCGAAACTCCACAATCTGACAACACAGCCAAATAAAAAATGGAGAATTCTGGAGAGCGAGAAAACCTTTAAGGACCTAATAAGGACCAACTCAATCCGATACAAAGAAAACGTGTGTAGGTGTAATGTAATGAGGAGGGTCGAAAACCATGAAAACTACATTGATTTGTCATTGGTGACAATGTGATACAGTGAATCAAGATACATATAAACAAATCAAAACAATTCTCAGAGAGAGAGAGATTTATTTACACAAACAATATTAGACTATAATGGAAACAATATCGATAATTTTTATAGAAGTAATCCAATTTACACATTGACTGATTCAACTTAAGCATGCAAGCCCATATAATTAATGAAGCTAATGTTTTTAAAAACAGTAAACACTAGAACTGTCCAAGCGAACCAAATATTCGAAATCGAAAATTATTCGAAGCGGTTTTCCGCCGATTTACGAATCGCTAAAATTTGGTTCCAAATTGCGCCTCACAACCACTTTTGCACCACGTTTTTCATCGGGCAAGCAAAAACATGCTTCTATCGCTTTCTTTGCTGTAAAAAGGTCTCTCTTATCGCCCGGTGACATGTAATTATCCATTTCATGCATGGTCATAAATGAAAAGTTATCGGTAATGATGATTTAAAGATGACCTTTTTTGAGAGAACTTGAGGAGAATAGGCAAATTTAGTGTCAGCAAAAAAACGCCAGTTCTATAAATAGAATCGATTTGTAGCTGTTGAATCAGTAATCATAAGAACATGGTACAGGACTGAAACACGTTTTGGAGGTCCAATACCCTTTTTCAATAGAATTTGTAATTTCTTCTAATGGCAACACTTTGTATCATCCATTTATTACTATGACAAATAATTGCACTCTTCTACTGTTCTATATCTATATTAATAGTTGTTTATCATTTTACTGAAAATTACACAAAAAATATTAAGTTAATAATACTCATGATAATACGATTAAAATAGCAACTACGGGCATTAAAAGAGTCTATGCAATTCCTAACCCTTAACACTTGATAGTTTTCGAAACCCCAATTTTTTGACCAGTTCAAGGAGGCTTGTGATCTCCTTTTATAACTCTGGAAACATAGTTATGCAAAATATTTGCAATAATTTAGATATAACTGAACATACGTCACAATATTGAAGACTGGAAGAGGAAGTTTTTATTGTACATTGGAGACAAATTTAGGATCGCACAATAATATTCGATTATTCGAGAAAAATATTTGGTTCGAATCAAAATAATATTCGATTTTGGACAGCCATCGTAAACACACAAAACAAAATTGATAAGATGGAATGCATGGCTATGGTATGTGTATCACAACAGTGCTTTTCCTACAAAAATATGGAATAAAAAAAAAATTCGATGTCATAAAATGGTGATGCCGTAGTTCAATCTCGTTGCAAAAACAACACAGTGACAAAAATTTTTTTACTAAAAAAACAAGCTCGATAAATAGATTGAATGTTTCATTATAGTCTATGCACCATCACGGATTGGTATCACAGGTTCTTTTGTCATTTTCGATTAGTTCAATTTAAAATCATTGTATCCGTTCTAACATTAATATCGAATTTCCACGAACGAGCACCATTCCAACAGTTGCAGTGGTCCCGTCTTATCTGTGCTCTGTTACACCATCCACAACTGGATTCATTTAAGGTTCGAAACCTCGCAAAACACCCGTAACAGATCGTACACTATTTAACTTTAAATTCAATCTTTTATCCATAAACTTCCTCAATTCCGGTGGATGGGCCATGCTTATGTTGATCTGACGCGATACAAATCCAACAGTAAATACCGAAACACAGAGCACGTGGCATTCTCAGTCAAAACCAGCGCGTTACGGTTCACTTGTTACGTAACAATGGCGGGAAAATTCCGTGTAGTCAATTGTCATCTGCGGAATATCGCAAACCTAGTAAATTACGCAGAACGTATTTTTTGAAGTATCTAGATTTCATATCTTTGTTGAAGGGGAATTCATTCTGGAATTCTCTTGATTTATGAAAAATATTACATTCATTACTATTAAAGATATGTTTTTATACTGCTATGCTTAAAAGGTATTGTTATAAATGTACCAAAACCTAATCAATCCATTTGGTATAATAGACAGTTACAATTAGGGTTGGGGTTTCGGGACTAGTTTTTGAAATCACGGTATCGGGATACCCTGGGATTGAACCGTAAAATCCCGGGATTTTTTGGGGATTGAGTGAAAAATTGAAACAAGTTGCATCACAATAAAATCACATATTTATTTCATGTAATATCGACGCAGAAATATTAAAGCATCTAGGGTGTTATCCTTCATACGACTTCTTATTTTGTTTGCAAAAAATCCAAGAGCAGAAAACGCTCTTCCTGCCTCGACTGACGTGGGTTTAATTGTTTTTAGGGCAGCGTACAATTTTTCAAGGTTTTCAGGTCTCTTTTTTCTTGTTTCATACAAAACCATCTCTTTTTGAATTACATGAGAGCTCAGGTTGCCAGATCGATTGTCTTCTACTTCGTCATCTTCCTCAAAACTGTGGAATTCCTCTGCTAAAAGTGATTTTCTTTTCTTCGTCGAGAATTTCACTGTCAACATCAGTAATCAGTAGTTTATCTTCTCACCATACTAAATGCACACTTGATATACAAATTGCAATAAATAAATAAAAGGCATTTCAGGGTGAGGGGAGCCGCGAGAAACCAAATTTGGTTATCGAGCAGCGGTACCCATAAGCAAGTCTAACAAGGAAATAATAACAAAAAAAAGTCGAACTGTGTATATACAGTATCATATATACGTTAATTTGAAAATAAATATAAATACGTCAAGGCATTCCAACCAGGTATGCCCAGTAATCTCGCGTTTCAACAACAACAAAACAAGAAACGACTCCGTGCACCAATTATCTAAGTAGCCATGACGATAGCTGCTTTGAGGCAAATTCACAATGGTACCATTGTGAGGTGACTGTGGTCGTATGTAGAACATTGTATGGTGCAGGGCTACAGTTGTTTAGGTATCAATGGTAAAAATGAAGTTTCACGAACAGGAAGCCTCCTGCATCAATGTACACAATGTAGCCCGCATTGTAAGCCTCTTGAGGAAATATTCTCTGCAAGATGTCCATGGCCAGAGCAGCAATTCTGGGCCGCTTTACTCTGTGCCCAAATTGATCCTGAACTTGATCAAGATAAGACGGATTTTTCGAATATTTCAATAGATGGACCAACTCAGCATTCCGCCGTTCTTCAATTCGTGCTTTGAACCGGTCTTTTAATGCCTGGCTGATTCCAGTTTTCTGATCACCAAGCTTCTTAAAAGTAAATGCAATTACCTTTTCTGCTAAAAGAATGTCTGCATCTTTACTGGAGAGTGTTCCTACCGCAATTTTTATGGGAGCAAGAGCATCACACAGTCTCTTGATAATTGTCATGTCATTTTCAGATAAGTCAAAATCAATATCCAGCCGAACTAGAGCCAATTTCACCTCTTTTCGTAGCTGTTAGAATCTCTCTAGCATTGAGAGCAAACTGTTCCATCGGGTTTTGCAGTCGAGCAGTAGTGTCATTTCCTTTCTCCAAGACAAATGGTTGAAGAGCATCATCATTTTTCACAGGCGACCTTCTGAATATTTTCACGATGTTTCTGACTTTCTTGATCAATGTGTCAAGGTTGGGAGATAAAGTTGGAGAAAATCCGAAATCATCGCGTTGTTCTGAGTCGCTGTCATTTTCGTCTGAACTGTCACTGTGACAGTCAAGTTCATCAGAGCATACTGCGATCGGTTGCCTTTTGTATAACACGTCACAAACGACCAAATGGATCGCGTGAGCAAAGCAGATCACATGGAGTGGACTCGTTCCTTTTCCAAATTTTACCATCAAACTAGCACCATCAGTGATTGTGGAAACAAAATCTGTATTCAGGTCGAGACCAAAGGAGATTAGTCGATTACCGACTAAGTCGATTGCTTTTTGTGTGTCCATGCTGCCGTGGATGCAAATCAATCCCAGCGAATGAAAGCCACCTTGAAATTGACAATTAATGTTCATGTAACGACGATTTCTTGCGGATGTTGTCTCATCAAATGTTATGGAAAAACGACCATTATTCAGTTTAGTTGCACAAAACTCTTCCTTGACTAATTTATTGACGGTTTCAAAGTTTTCCATCACCAGACTACGAACACGTTTGTGTGATTTATGCAGCTTATAACCATCAGTTTTGAACGCTTGATGTAGCCTCTCACTTTTGGCAATTTGATTAAATGTAAGACCATCCACCTCAGTTAACTGACTAACTTGCACCTCAATGTTGACTTTTTTTGACTTGAAGAACGACTCAATTTTTCTGATCTTGGGATTTGGCTGATCCCCCATGCTCGTGCGAGACTTCACTTCGATCTCGTGCTTTGACTTCAAATGAACTATAAGTCCCTTCGTGCTCGACCCAGACGCTTTTAAAATTGTTTGGCACAATTTACACTTCGCTTTTTCGGTATCTTTGCAAAATAAAAAGTTTCTCCAGACTTCTGACTTTTTTTTAGATATCTTTACTTTTGTGTCTATCAGAGTTTTGTAGTAGCAATAAATTAAATATAAATAGTATAGGAAGAAGACTCTCCCAGCTCCTCTTGCACTTGGATGTCATCATCATTTTCATAAACAACGAGGGTGACATCTTCAGGCACACTGCTAGATGTTCTAAAATTAAGCAGGGGCCATATGTCACCTCATACTCATCACTTAGTACGGAATCTTTGTTTTTTACAGGTCAATGATGATTACAGGATGGGAAAAACAAGTTTATTGTTTTACCTCGTTTCAAATAAAGAGTTTTGTTGCTATGAAAGTGTCAATTTATTGACATATCAGTATTCTTGGCGGAGTGTATGACATGGAATATTTTATGAAGTTTTAGTCAATTTTTGTTGGAAATTAAAATAGGGCTTTTGTAGTAATGACATACGGTATAGGTAGAGTAAATATGTTTTCCCCACCTCCTGTTTTCGCTGTACGAGTTCAAAAACTCTAAACTACTCATGAACTTCCATCTTTTTTTACACCCACCCCCTACTCTCAAACGCCCTCTCTCTTTTTTCTCTCATGTACCCATCTTTCGAAGACCTCCACCTTGTCTTGCATTCTTTCGCTGTTGAAACAAGAATACCGGCAATGTTATTTCAGGTTATATTTGACACAAAATAACTGTATCTCCGGAATGCAATATACGCTTACCCCCCATTCGCAATACTCGCCAACCTCTATCTACGCTTTTTCCTTCAAAATCTTGTTCCTGTAATCCATCGCCTCAACCGCCCAAAAAACAATCCCTCTCCCTCACCAACTCTATCAAGTGTCCAACGTTCATTTTTCCGTTCTGCGTAATTTTTTATTGGATTTTTATAAAATAGAAGCAATATTGCAAAAAACAATATCGATCAAAATAAAAAACAATAAATAACATGTCATTTCAGATCACTCTATAGGACATGCATTGGTGCTCCCGAAGTATGCGAACCAAGATGGCGGACATCGGAACGTAACATGGGTAACAGGTTAGGGTTAGGCGATAATGCTTTTCCAATTTTCATTATTTTAGTCCTATTATCAGTTCGAAAGCTAGCCAAGAGCCTCCCGTAGTATTTATAGCTAAAATTATGGCCTAACCCTAACCTAGTACACATATTACATTCCGATGTCCGCCATCTTGGTTCGCATACTTCGGGAGCCCCCATGCATTTTTATAAATCATAGAACATTATTGCAATAAACAATATTAATAAATTCCATAAACCATTTCATCATATCTATAAGTCAATAACAATGTCATACCACACGATTTTATACATATATTATTTTAACTAGTCTTTTTATTAGATTTTTATAAAATAATATTGCATTGAAACAACAACTATTCAGCACTAATGTTTGCAATGGCATATTGTAGTTTTAATCCCAATATGGTACGAAAAAATATCACATTCTATATATCTATATTATATAGCATATAAGAATATTAAATGCACTAATGATATAAGAAAAAACACATTAGACAGTTTACAGCACAAATCAAATAATCCAAGTTTATGTAAATAAATGCCATTTTCTTTTGTGTATAAGAATTTTATCATTTTTTGTGCCATATATTTCTCATTGTCACAGATAAATTTATAGGAAACGTCGGAGATTGCTTTACGTTTCTGGATTCGGCATCTATGTATAAAGAAGCGTAGAATTAATAAAATGTATATCAAGAATGTAATCAAAGCCCATAAAACATTGTTTGATGGAAAGGTCAAAATCTGAGTTTTCTGTCTTGAAAACAATCCACTGGTCTATCTCAGACCAAATTTACTGACCAAAATTTACAATAATAAAATAAATGCAAAAGGGTTTCAATATGTAATTTACAAAATTTACACAGGTTTGTTTCTACTAGTCCAAATCCATATAAAACAGTTTCATTTGAAGAGATCTCAGTTTTGTCTCGATATTTGATGAATATGAATTTGTAAAACATTTATTTCAAAACCAAACGCGAACGTATATCGTTTTGGCGTCGTCTAACTTATGTAACAAACAAACTGCAGGTGCGGTAGATTCCAAACTGTTTACATCAAACGGACATGATTGGGTTGTGCCTATGTATTGTTTCGAATTCGTTTTTCATGAGCTTCTTGGAGCGAACAAATAATTTGATTGGCGTAGTCGTAAACAATTGCCAAATAGTGTGTTAGATGAAAACAGTGTCAGCAAAAGTAATAAATGAATTATAATGGTATATATGAAATTCTTCATCATGAATAAAATCCGACGTAGTGCTGTGCTTCAGTGTATTAAGTGCAATGTAGTTTCACATAAAATGCCTGGTCATTCTGTCATTTATCTTCCTTAGTTTTTTTGCGATGCAAGTACGTAAAATTGGAATGTCGGGCGTGTTTTGTGCCTTTTTACAAATAAGACCGCCTATGCAATCCTACGCTTTGGAATTTTTAGTTATTTTCCTCAAGCCCTGCAGGATGTGGGGGCCATACACAAATCTACCGGATGGTCGAATGTCTTTGCATGCCTCCATAGGTTGTTTTTCTATTGCAAACATTTATGGAGTACTTTAATTATATTTCTTGGAATCACACTGTCACTGATATGTCGCCAGATTTCTGATATCTCCCCTTCTGCTATAGTTGTCCTGTGAATAAATAATGGGAAATTGAGATTAGGCGAATAGCTGAAAGTTTTGCTTTATGTCGGCTTAATTTCTTGATTGATATACTTACTATTTTTTCTATTGCCTCTTGTGCTGCAGGAGTCTCACAATGCTTAGACAGGTTTGTCCACAACTTTCACATCTGAAGAAAGAGAGGAGATTTATTGATTTTCGTTAAGAATAAATAAAGCAGTCTATATGATTTAGAATGGAGGAGCTAATAAATCAAATATCTCATGTTTTATGTAAAAAATGTTTTACTGAATTCGGTATATAAACCAGCTAATGAAAGGGTTTAGTCAGAAAATTACAAGCATTGGTGGCTCCAAATACTTGAGAGATCAGACTATACAATATAGACCGGTATGAGTGAAATGTTAGGTGAACTTGTTAACACTTTGATTCAATACGCAAATAAAAGTGAATGTGCAATAGTATGTTACAATGAACAGCAATCAGCAATGAGTATATATCCTCACTGATTAAAAAAAATATAAACGGAGGTGCATGGACTATTTGAAACCATAAGGTGTAAGTAAATATGCAATTTCGGCAAATAGGCAACTACTTACCGTACTGAATTAATAACTTTGTAGTATTTGACAAAGGCTGGCTTTCTACATGTACTTAACAGTGCGATGCCCGGGTGTGATATACAACAATAGTATTTACCTTACTTTTTTTCGATTTCTTTTTACCTCAACTACCAAAATATTATCATTAAAATCGACAACAACTGTCAAAGCAGGCGCGAACACTATTCGTGCTATGCCTTGAAAGCAGCACACATCCGCTCGTTTTCGTCTCGCCAAGTATGTGCATTGGAGCGTGCTATCGGATACGATCTTCGGCCAAAAATGCCGGAGTTGCGCATCATGTTGTTTAATGTCATTGCTCCAACCAATGGTTTTGCAATGCCCATCCACCCAAGCTGCATGGACAACAATTGGGAATGAGTTTGAAGCGAGGTGGCAATTCCCGAATTGTTTAGGTGCCATTGATGGCAAACATGTCATCATTCAAGCCTCAAACAATTCGGGATCCATGTTCTTCAATTATAAGAAGACGCACAGCATTGTGTTGATGGCTGTGGTGGATGCAAAGTGAGAATAAGCAAATTATGACTTGTTATTGATTTTTTTTGAATTCTTGACAAATGCTCATAATGTTTATCATTTCACAGTTATAAATTTGTGGCAGTTGACGTTGGAGGGTATGGGAGGAGCAGTGATGGGGGTATATTTGCCGACTCCTGTTTTGGCAGAAGATTGGCCAATGGTACCCTCAATCTTCCTAATCCTAGGTAGGCTGACAGTCGAATATTTACAAAATAAATGTCATTTCCAACACTTTGCTCATTACCGACCACTTTTGTAAGCTCTTGTGAACAGTACTGTGTTTGATGTTCTAATTGCCTATTTTCAACATTGGCCAAAATTTACTTCATGTTAGAATTTGTTTAATATCACAGTAGTATGTATGTCATATGTTACCACCTTGTATAACGTGTGTGAGTCTTTTGTGTTTGTTATAGGTGCAGGAACCTTTTTGTCCAGTAGTTAAGATATATGTTTGCATGGAGCGATTCTTAGAAATTCAGGGAAGTTTGGCATGTTTTGCTTCTAACCGTTTGTTTTACACATTGGGTAGGACTAAGTATAATACATTGAAATAAATCCGATCTACAATCCATAGTAACATTACAAAATTAATATGTGAAATCATCTCATGACATTCTTTGTTTTGCTAGGCCATTGGGAAGGACGAGTCATGGAGACTGCACCCCATTTGTATTTGTAGCTGATGAGGCATTCCCTTTAAAGGAAAATATTATGAGACCATATGGTGGGAACAATCTGAACTCAAAACAGAAAATATACAACTACAGGTTGTCAAGGACTCGCCGAATGGTAGAGACTGTTTTTGGAATACTTTCCAACCAATGGAGAGTATTCCATAGGGTAATGTCTCTTCAGCCTACAAATGCTGATGGGGTGGTGAAGGCCACCTTTCGCTTTCATAACTTTTTGAGGAAAGGAGAAAATCAGCCAGAAGGAGTGCAGGAAGCTTCCTCAGAAGCTGACAACAATACATTACTGAGAAGTTTGTCACAGATTGGAGGTCGTGCAACATCCCGGGCGATTGCTACAATGTAATCGTACACTGATTTTTTTAGTGGTCAAGGAGCTATTGGATGGCAAAATGACCAAGTTTGAAGGTGATCAGATCATTATACACTATTACGCAATAAACATTACTAATCAATTTCACTTTGAAAGGTTTGAAAAATCTATTACATTTAGATAAAAAAAAACTTCCAAAATACTATTACAATTATTGTTAAGCGTTCGAGGGCCGCACTGGAAGTTCTCTGGGGCCGCGAGTTTGACATCCCTGGTCTAGATTGAAGCTGTCCAAAATATATAACAGTATTTTATCATAAATCATGATTATACCCTTTCCTGAATTTCTTCTATAGTACTACCAAAAGTTGATGAACCAAATATAACACAGGTGTAGTCAGTGACCCGTAATCCTCATTTTTCAAAGCTGTTTTAAGTATGTCTGGCATGTTTTGTGACTTTTTACTTCTTACGCTTTGGAATTTTTAGTTATTTCCCTCAAGCCCTGCAGGATGTAGGGGCTATATACACATCTTTACCGAAGGGTCAAATTTCTTTGAATGCCTCCATAGGTTGTTCTTCTATTGCAAACATTTATGGAGTATTCTAATTATATTTCTTGGAATCACACTGTCACTGATATGTCGCCAGACTTTTGATATCTCCCCTTCTGCTATAGTTGTCCTGTGAATAAATAATAGGAAATTGAGATTAAAGTGAATGCGCATATATCCTCACTGATTAAAAAAAATCTAAATGGAGGTACATGAACTATTTGAAACCATAAGGGGTAAGTAAATATGCAATTTCGGCAACAACTGTCGCACGAACACCATTCGTGCTATGCCTTGAAAGCAGCACACATCCGCTCGTTTTCGTCTCGTCAAGTATGTGCATTGGAGCGTGCTATCGGATACGATCTTCGGCCAAAAATGCCGGAGTTGCGCATCAGGTTGTTTAATGTCATTGGTCTCACAAACGTGGGGCGTCTGGCATCACGTCAGATAATCTCAATAATATTCTGAATTACTCGCGGCCGTCCCGTGATCAAAACTGCCGTTTTCGCAAAAACCATCCTAGATACGCCACTGCTGAGATCTGCCTTCATATATGAATCTCCTGGATTCAAAACACTGGAGCATCCAACCCACAGCCATATTTACTCTCGCAGTCCGGGCAAATGGCACTCAGTCGAACACTCGAAGTGGTCGCTAAAACAACTGTTACAGGTTTTTTAGATCACTCCTACGCAGAAAAAACAAATTGAAATTAAACAGTTTTGTATTGGTCATTTAATTTGATATAAAGTAGGCTACATACCGTCAGTATAGCTTGAAACCGGCTTTGGAACCACTGATGATATATATATATATATATATTGAGCAGTTTTATCAAGAAAATTTTGCTTTGAGCAAAATCAATAACACTTTGAAATGTTTGAGTGGCTGATCAATTCATTTCATTTTTTAAAATTTTCTTATTATTATTTTTTGGCTTGTTTCCAAAAACTAACAAAAACACGAGGGAACATCCGTTTTGTTTATTTTATGCCAGATGTAATTTTTCCGCGTAGGATTAATTCTACATGAACAATTCTGTAACAGTTTATTTGACAGTTAGACATTCGGCTTATCCTTGCTTACATGAGTCAGCTTGCTCTTTGTTCTTGGAATAAGGTAATTCAACTATAAAAGCAGCTCTCCAAATACCCAAACATTAATTGCTGGTTTATTTTATGTCAGATGTGTTTCTCTGTATAGGATTAATTTTACATAAAAAAATTCTGCAACAGTTTCTTTGGCATTAAGAGTCTAATATTTAGCAGATGAACATTTGACTTCTCTTCGAATAGATGAGTCAAGTTGCTCTTTTGTCTTGGAATCAGGTAATTCGAATATAAAAGCAGTTCAAACATTCATTTACTTGAGATATAGAACATCAGGAAAGATGAGGACAGTGTGAAGCCTGGGGTGTCCGAGCTAATCAATGTCGGTGTATCATTGTTTGTTTTCTCTGTTCCTGCGTGTGTGCCAGTGCTATGCTGATTATATATCCCAGGCCTATAACATGATTAGATAATATATCATAGTTACCGTATGTTCTATCTCACAAGCTGAGGTTTCCTTTATGATACCTTTGTTTTATTTTGTGTGTATTTAGTTTAATTGGTATTGATTCATCATTTTCTTTCATTACTGTATTATAAATACATTAATGTGAACTACATTTTATGCAATAATCATTGATTTAAAAGCATAAAAAATACATGGTTTCTTAAATATACTGAACTATAGAATTTTTATCAAAATCATGGAATCCACTGAAAATGTGTTTCCCTGCCTTATCTGTGATGAAAACTTTTCATCAGGGCCAAGTTTGGAAAAGCATATGTTTTTGCACATTTACTATGGAACTGGCGATTTGAATGAATATGCAAACGGTATGCCTATCAACATTATGGAGAGGCATTACGGAAAAGATATTGCAAGTGTAACTTCTTCACAAAGTGATGGTGAAAAAAAACTCGATGTTCCTGCGCAATGTCAAGAAAGTGGTTCGATCGATGAAACTGGTACTGGGAAAATTGATGTAACCTATATAAATACTAACATCAGACCAGGGTCAAATTTACAAACCAGCAATGGAGGTAAACGAATTCTTTGCCAAGAGTGTGGGAAGAACTTCAAATCAAAGTCACATTTAAACAGACATATGAGAACTCATACTGGGGAAAAACCTTATATATGTAAACAATGTGGGAAGTCTTTTTCACAATTATCCAATTTACAAGTGCATAAGCGAACTCATACTGGAGAAAAACCTTATATTTGTGAGAAATGTAAAAAGGGCTTTTCACAACAATCTCATTTGCAAGTGCATGAGCGTTCTCACAGCAAAGAAAAGCCTTATGCTTGTAAACAATGCGAAAAGCGTTTCTCGTGTATATCTGTTTTACGTGTGCATGAGCGAACACATACCGGAGAAAAACCTTATGTTTGTAAACAATGCGAAAAGCGGTTTTCTTGTTCATCTGCTTTACTTAGACATAAACGAAATCACACTGGAGAGAAACCTTATATTTGTAAACAATGTGGAAAGTGTTTTTCGCGATTATCTCATTTACGGAGGCATGGAAGAACTCATACTGGAGAGAAGCCCCATGTTTGTAAACAATGTGAATTGTGTTTTTCAGATTTATCCAATTTAAAAGTACATGAGCGAAAACACACTGGAGAGAAACCTCATATATGCAGAAAATGTGGAAAAGATTTCTTATTGAAATCATATTTACAAAAACATATGATAATTCATACTGGAGAGAAATATCATGATTGAAAACAATGGCATTCATTTACTTTGAAAGTGAACTCACACTGGAGAGAAACCTTATATTTGTAAACAATGTGGAAAGAATTTTTACAGTTATTTCTTTTACGTAGGCATGAGGTAACTCATACTGGGGAGAATCCCCTATATGTGGAAAGGTTTTTTCTGCAAATATCTAGTTTGCAAAAGCATGAACGAATTCATAAAGAAGAGAGACCCTATAATTTTGCACAATCTGGAAAGAGTTTTTTGCAGTCATCTCATTTACAAGTGCATGCACAAACTCCTACTTGAAAGAAACCCTACGTTTGTAAAGAATGTGGTAGTAAATGTTTGCATGTATCCAGTTCACATAGATATGAGAGAATTCATCGTACTGTAGAGAAGCCATATGTTTGTAAATAAGTGTTAACACCGATAGAGTCGTTGGAAAAACATTTACTGACACACACACACGATACACTCTATAAGCATGAATAATTAGCAAAGGTGAAATTGAATCTATAGAATAGTTTTTAAATTTTTTTAAGATGATTCGAAATCTTTTTGACATTCGCGTAGATAATATCACCTACTCACATTTGCGCATTAAACAGCTCGACCTGTCTATCTTTTTAAATAACATTGTTAGTCCGTCCTCGCTTTGTAATTTACTAATAATTATTATATTTGTAATCAACAGTTTTTTACAATAAACGATGACATGAAACCTTTGTGTGCCTAAATATGACACTTATGACTATGGGGTTTTACGAACCAAAACACATTAAAATTAACTCTATTATCACTAGATATAAATAACGATATTTAATGTAGTTCTATCGCGATTGGCCGTTAGCTGGGCGAAATTTAGATATTTTTGGCATACTTTTTCAAACAAATATATCGTTTTGATATCAAACATAAACTTTTGTAAATGTTTTTGCTGGGTAGACCTTGCAAAACAGTTTATATATTGATAACCTCCTATTTACTTCAAAGCATATAACCACTTATCAGCGTAAAATACTGGAGATTCATTCACTGGATTTCGCAAAACCTGTTTTTGGTCGGCGCATCGTGCACTTGATCATTGTACTCTGCGTGCTTTCGTAAGTTTGAATCACGTGGGCGATGCCACACGCGAACGGATTGCTGGACTCGTCCTTGCAGTAAGGTACGGGTAATTTGCGTATCCCAGTAGTCGGCACAAAATACGGCCGGAGTAAAATAATCTGACGCGGGACGCTTCACTGAATGAACCTTTCCCCGACGTAAATTCTTCCTATACTTTACCATTCTAAAATTTTCGGTGCTTATTTTAAGAAAATGAGGTAATGTTCACGACCACGCCTGAAAATCTGTCTGAATGAGAAATATGTCTGAGCGGATGCGAAAGGGGGCATTGTTACGTTTATTTTTGTATATTGCATCGTGATTGGCCAATGTCACGAAGTAAACAAGAAAGTCTATGCCCGGGAAAAATCCAAACGGCGGTTTTAACGATGAATAAATTTTATTTATTATCTACGCTCGAGAATTAAATTACTATTTTTCGACACGTTTAGAATAAATTATATTATCTCCTAAAAATTAGATTGAACAGCTACTCGTTTAACGAGCCTACAATTTAAATATAATTAGACAAATGGAAACATGCAGAAAAGTTGATGCTGAGAGCAAGGGTTCAATAGCGCAGTAAATATTCGAACATATTGCAATGCAATAAGGAAATAAAACTCATATTCTATTCGAGAGATTCATCACTGCTTAATTTTTGTAAGAATGTATCTTCTTAAAGAAAATCTTTATCAAAATTTCACAAACCATGCGAAAATATTCACTTCGATTTGTGCGAACAATTATTTTTGAAAATGAACATTACAAAAAACAAGCGAAGAATTAGTGATGCCCATTTAGATTTTGGCGTCGTAAAGCTATCAAGCGTGATGCAGCAACAAGACAGTGTCACATTAACTGTCATTGTAATAATTTTTTACACGAATTGTCGCAGTTTTCGCACAATGTCCCGTTTTTATCTTTCAAAAAATATATGCGACTCGCAACTCTAAATTTTGTCCCGCGAGCGACGTAACATTTGCCGATCCTTGGGCCATCCGAGTCCACAAATCCAAATTAATGGCTGATAATTCTATGGACAAGTGATCGGACTGGAAGACGTGGTAGGATGAGAAATCGGGGATGAATTTTACCGAAGACCGTTATATATCATGTATTTTGGTGCAGGTCATCAGATCATTAATATAAGTTTGGGAAAATTAAGTTTGTTTTCTATTTTAAGGTGAAATTGGGGAGATAAATGCTTAAGGTAAGAGTACATGGCGGTTTTTAAGGAGGAAGAACCCTCGATTCTCTCATTTTCGACCTCTTATATGGTGGAAAAGGGGTTCTCAGCTCGGCTACTATTGCTATCAAAACAACGAAATCGCCTTTCTATCAGTAAACGGGGTAACTTCAGATATATGAAGTAAAAAAATCGCTGAAGAACACCATGCTCATCCATCTCATTGAAAAACACTATAAACTATGATTTGTCTCCTAATTTGGTCTGTAATATATTTGTTTCAGACTTTACAATTTTTTGCAGAACCGGGGGGCGATGAAGTTGTATAAACTACTGCAGGGGGGCGATGGTACAAAAAGTTTGGGAACTACGGACTAAACTATTCCTATACCGACATGGACTTGTAACCGAATGAGAGTTCGTGGTTCGCCATATGATTAAGCCGCATTATCGGCTCTCCTCTCCCTCGGTATAAATATGTAAATCCTATTATATCCTGACGATTGCAAGTGATTAGAAAGTGGTTTTTTTCAACGACGATCGTGCGTAAATATCGAGAATGTGCGAAAATTTGTACAAAACCTTTCATAAATCGCACATAAGATATTTCGTTATTACATTTCTTTGTGCCAACAACGATATAGTTTTCCATAATGCAAAAGTAATAAATATTTCGAAATGACCATTGACGTAAAACGCAATAAAACCAATTTATATTTTTGTGATCATCATAAGATGATATTTAAGTCGTTCATTATTAATGATTTATTTATGTCGCTGGATGTTACTGTCGAGCTCTTTCTCTCTTGTGGTGCTTAGTGCTATGATTTGTGATGTCTATGGTATATTCATAATATACTCAAGCATCCTGAACAGAACAAACAAACAAACACGGTATCTCATGACACTGAAACATTTATTGGACACGTAGTGGACATAACGATCAGTTTGTTTTTATGCTGTTCTTTGTATCGTTTTTTTCTCTTTGATCAATTGCTTTGAAATTTTCAGTGGTTAAAGATGGAATTTTACTCCAGAAGGCTATTACTTTCATTTTTTGCTATGACGTCATGGCTCTCTTGTTATATAAATAATTAAAATTGGGAAATTTGACAAAACTTCTTGGCGTGCTTTCTAGCATGTTAGTTTCAATTTGGAAAAAAGAAAAACAATTACCGATGAGAGAATCATAAATAACATAGAAATAAAGCGATTTCTCTGTCTCTAGCGATATTTAAATTTATCAATACGCCATTTGCTGGCTCACAAAAGAGGCTTACAAATTTGGAAAAATTAGTAATTTGCAATTGTTAAAGTTCTCATTGAAATTTCATGAATGCACCAACTGGATCACCATTATTATACAGCAACGAGACACCCAAATCAACGGCTCTGCCATATACACTTCCGTCCTTAGTCCCTCATTATGTTACGGTAATTATCACTACCAATATCGGTTTTTAAAAAACAATAAGTATCACATATTCTACATCAAAAGAAAAATATATTTTAATTTCATTGGTTGACATCAAATCTTTAAAAAAATTAGGCATATGACGGGGATGGCGAACCACTGAACCGCGGGTCACAAAGTGACCCACCGCGTTTTCTTCGTGACCCGCCAAGGCACGAATGAAATAAAAATGCTGACATATCGGTGATAAAAATTGATAAACCGGCATTAAATTAATCAAACAATAATTGAACTAATATAATTTACCGTCAATTGGGCAGTCAGGGCTGCGATCTCTCGGAATTTTCGGGGCCGATATGATAATTTTCAAAACCCCTAATTTATGACATAACAATGCAATTGACCTGTTCATTTCTCGCAACGTCTTGTCTTTTTCGGAAGTGCATCTGCAGACTGATTTAGGGGTTATACGAGAACTAGATGTTAACGGGATAAATATGTAAATCCTATCCTAGATGTTACTTTGCACTTTATTAGTTTCTCGCCTACAATGCCGTTAAGAAAACAAAATCTTTCAGACTTGAAATAAAAACCTAGAAATCCGAAATAACAATGGGGCAGTGTAGAAGTGCCTCAAGATGGTTGAAAGCTGATTGAAAAATATGACACTATCAGAGTGGAATTCCCTCTTGGAACCGTAAAATAATTTGCCGCATTATCCCGAACGTTTTTGATAATTTATATGTGTGTTTACGTACTCTAGTTTTATAAAATCGCGTGGCATAAAAAGTCTCTGATAGAAGTGTTGCATAAGTAAAGCCCAAAACTACACCAACAGAAGCTTGTAAGATTTGTTTCAGAAGTTTCTTATAGATATAAACATTAATTAAATATCTGTGACCCATTATGATAAAAAATATAATATTCGACCCGTTAATTAAAAAAGGCTGACATATGACATGGGTGGGTTCAAGTTTAGGAATCCCCCTCCCAATGTTATCAAATTAGTGTTAAAAAATATGCCAAACCATTGTAATTTCTAACTCGGCTATGAAGAGGACAAAATACAGTACAGAAATGTATACAAAAAAACTATGAAAATAATATTTTGAAATAGACACTTATCTGGTAAAATCTGAATTTTAAAAAATAGAATTCACATTATCATTTCCACATTTAGCTGATTGGACAAGATTTTTAAAATTTACTGAACTAAAAGGAAGAACTAAGCGTTTAAAATATTGCTCACAACAGGATTCACTATTCGCTCATTTTTTTGTGAAAATTGCGAAGCACTTTCGCAGTGTTTTTTAGGGACTGCGTACTAGTACTTTTGTAACCCAATTTTGCATTACATAATGATATTTGCTGAAATTCTAACCTATGGGGTGCAGACATGGAAGATAAAGCCCCTGCATTTACGGCAAAATTCTTGTTTATAATATGATTTTTATACAAGCACACCGAATCCGTTCTCCTGCGGCGGCTAGATGTTGGAATACGACGCAGTGCGTTTCTTTGAATGAAAGTGGTCTTGTGACCATCGATATGATATCGATGAATTATAGTGCAATTTTGATGAGTCTTTGTTCCATTCTTCAGAAAGTCTGACACCCGTAAGGACAGGCAAAATAGAATACGATTCACTGGCAATTTCCCGATTGCAACAATCTTAATTTTTTGGAATACGTAAAACAGTCTCTATTTTATATTAAATGACTTTTCGCGGGCTTGGAGTTCTCCCCGATGTGTACCAGACGCTAGACGATAGATAAAACACTATTTGAGATTAATTTAGATCAAATTTCACTTTTCAGGACACCTGTTTCTGAAAATACAAGGTTGTATCGCAAAAATGCGTTTTATGGTTAATTCAGATCACAGTTTACATTTCGAGACACCCCGTTTCCGAAAATATAAAGTTATATCGCGAAAAATGAGTTTTGTTACATTTGGAATAAAACAATATTTACGGATAATTTAGATCACATTTTAGATTTTGCGTAATATTTCGA